GTACTCCTTTCCCAATTTTGAACAAATCAGTTGTTCCATATCCAGCTCTAACTGTTGCTTCCTGTCCCACATATAGGTTTCTCAGGATACGGATAAGGTGGTCAGGCACTCCCATTTCTTTAAGAGCTTGCCATCGTTTGTTGTGGTCGACACAGTCAAAGGCTTTTGCGTAGTCAATGAAGCACAAGTAGATGTTTTTCTGGAACTCTCAGGCTTTCTCCATAATCCAGCGCATGTTAGCAATCATAACTAGGATTGGCTAAAATAACCCTTTGATCTTATGCTCTACCTTTAAGTGAAAGGGCAGAATAAGGGGCTACCCTGCCGCTGGCAGCTGCCAGGAGTGTATGCACGTCACTGAAACAGGATGTAGCTACAACCTTTAAGCAGACGTTTCCCATGGTTACAAATATTAAAAAAAACTTCTGATCATTCTGCCTGTCTTATTTTCCAAAATAATAATTATTGTATCCCCATCCATGCAGTGAAGGAACATATAAAAGAAAAAAAAATGGGAATAAATCAACATCTTGCATGGTCAGAATCCAATGGACCTCAAGAAAGGTCATGGCAGTCACGAAAGCCTGTGTTGTAGTACTTTTAAGGCCCCAAACCCTTGGCATCCTCAGCAGCATACCTTTAGTTACCTCTTTCAAGTACAGTGGACCCTCGACTTACAGACGGCTCGACTTACAGACTTTTCGAGTTACAGACTTCTCTGGCTGCAAAATTTAGATTCAACTTGCAGCCAGAGAATCGACTTACCACCTTTAGTCACCTCCTTCAAGTATGAACGTGGGCTATACACTATTAGAACCCCATGTTTGCATCAAATTTGTAGCTAGGGATGGTATTCTCAGATTTCTTGGACTACGAATTCCATAATTCTGGATCCTTGGAGTTCCATCTGACAGACACATATCTACATGTGGCATATGAGGTAGACAGGCCTCAACTAGAAGGCTTTCAGACTGATCTAGACCTAGGTCATCCAAGCTTCCTCAGTTTCCCACCCCACGCTTAGCTGGGAACCTTCTTTTGGAAAAGGTGAACCACATGTAGGTACAGTGGTGCCTTGCATAATGACGATAATCCATGCAGCAAAAATCGCTGCAAAGTGATTTCGTCGCTATGCGATATTAAAAAGCCCATAGGAATGCATTGAAACCCCTTCAATACATTCCTATGGGCTTAAAACTCACCTTAAAGCAAAAATCCTCCATACGGCAGCCATTTTCGCTGCTCAGTAAGTGGGGAAACCATCCCATAAAACAGTGGTGTTGAACTGTGGCCCTCCAGAAGTTCTTGGCCTTCAACTCCCAGAAATCCTGGCCAGCAGAGGTGGTGGCGAAGGCTTCTGGGAGTTGAAGTCCAAGAACATCTGGAGGGCCACAGTTCGACACCACTGCCATAAAACATTGGGCAGCCATTTTTTTTAACCCGGTGGCCATTTTGGAACCACTGATCAGCTGTTAAAAATCATCGCTATGTGATGATCGGTAACCGAAACAGGGTGCCGATCATCACAAAGTGATTTTTCCCTATTTAAAACATCGCAAAGCGATCACAAAAGCGATCACATAAGTTAATCACTATGCGATTTCATTGTTAAACGGGGCACCTGTTAAGCGAGGCACTACTGTATATGTCTGTTAGACAGAATTCCTAGAATGGAGAAGTATGGGATTTTTAATAATAATTAAAAAACCCAAAAGGTCCACACTCTACTTTCAGCACAAGTTACCAAGTACAAATAGTAAATGTTAGCAGATTGTTTCACAATTTATTTGAGCAGGCATGGCGGATATCTGAAACCTTCCCCTTTCATCCATTCTGGAATCGCTTTAGGGGGGAGGTTTTGATGCTGTTGTTGTTCACCTCAGAACCAAGTATTTGCATTTGATCCCAATATTTTTGTATACCTCTGTATATTTATATATTTCGATGTTTTATTTGTGGCTGGTCTTTGACCATAATAACGTTTTATCTATCTATCATCCAACCAATTTTCCATTTGGGAGGCAAGTAGGCATGCATTTCCTTTCCATTAGAAAACTGCCATTCACTAGAATAACTTTAGATGCAAGAGGAAAAGAGTAAGACTGTTGGTATCACTGAGGCTTAAAATCTGTCCAAAACAGAAAACAATACATAGCTCTATGTATTTATTGCCATTTCACTACTTATTCCTTGTTTTTCTATCTAACATACTCCACAAGCCAAGTATTTGGTACGCCTAAACCTCCTTTTTTGTTGTTTTATAGCAGTACTTTTTATTTATTCTGGCTCTCTTCCCTTCATTACAGTATTTATTAATCATTCCTTCCCAAAAATTTAAAATCATCTTCTGTTAACTGTACTGGAAACATTCTATATAAAAAATATTTTTTTGTTAGAATCTTCATTTTTATCAATGCGGTCCTTCCAAACCAAGGAAGTTTTAAGTTAGTATATTCCTGTAGTTTCTTTTTAATATCTCCTTTTAATTTATTATAATTATGTTCCTTTATTTTTTGATTATCTTTTACTAAACCTATACCTAAATATTTAACCAATTTACATACAGTGGGGTCTTGACTTACGAATGGCCCGAGTTACGAACATTTTGACTTAAGAACCACTCTCATAGGAAAATATTGACTTGACTTATGTACTTAGATTTGAGTTACGAACTGAAAAAAACTGAAAAAACACATGGGAGGCAGGGAAAGTGCAAAATTTGAACTTTCAGTTAACTGTTGGCCAGTGAAAAGGGTGCCTGTCTGCTTCCTCACTCCTCCCAGCGTTTAGAGAGTGGATTGGGAGACAGTCTTCAGACTGCCTGGTACTGTACTGCCTGGACTGTATTTTCCCTGCCTTCCCTGAACCTTTCTTGACCTAAGAAAAAAAGAAACAAAATATCCCCCTCTAGTGGTCGAAGGCGGAATAGCAGCTTCCCATTAGTTTCTATGGACGGAAAAGAGCAGATACGGATCAAATGGTTTTCAATGCATTCCTATGGGAAATGCAGATTTGACCTGCGAACTTTTTGACTTGAGAACCGCCTTCCAATACGAATTAAGTTCTCAAGTCAAGACCCCACTGTATCTTAAAATCATATTTAACAAACTTTTTTGTTCTAGTTTATTATGATTAAGCAACATTATTTCAGTTTTTTGCCAATTTACACGTAATGCAGTTATTTTTCCAAATTTTTCTAAATGAATTTAAATTCTAATGGGTTTTTCACTGTCAATAGGGAATCATCAGCAAATAAATTAATCTTTATTTTATTATTTCCCCCCATACCTTCAATTAAATCATCATTCCTTATTGCATTTGCTAACATTTCAATAACCAAGCAAAATGGAACTGGAGAAAGAGCGCAACCTTGTCTGGTGCCTTGACCTAGAGCTATCTGCTTTGTCATCCCATCATTAACAATTACGCAGAAGTGTTCTCCAAATATCATTGATCTATTACTAAATTTCTTTCCAAAACCCTAACCCTTTAAAAGGATCT